CACTCACCTCAGCCTCCCAAAGGCGCGGGATTACAGGCTGAGCCACTGAGCCCGGCCAATCTGACTTGTTAATGCCAAGTTGTTTCCCAACCTGTGCAACAGAGTGAGATCCCAACTCAATAAATATGTAATTTTTACTTGTTAATGCCAAGTTGTCTCCCAAAGTGGCTGTAAACGATTAGCTCTCTCCATGTAGGGTTACAGTGTTATGGTGACCCTAGATCCATAAATGCCAGAATCTCAGGGCAGGAAAGAAACACTGAACTCAGTCTCCTCATTTTATGGATGGAGGAAATTTAGACACAGGAACGTGCGACGGCCTGGCCTTGAACCCAAACCCCCTTACTCCCTCCCTACCCCTGCCTTGGCTCATGTCTCTCTCTCTCTCTCATCCCCTCCTTCCACAGGCTGAAGCCCCAATGTGTGGCTGCCACCACACATCAAGCTGTTTCTAGGGTGGGCTCGGGACTCGAATCTGACCCGGCTGGGGTCTCCACTGGTTCTGGAAAATGAGGCTTTTCCGCAGACGCCACATGCCCCTGCGCCTGGCCATGGTGGGCAGCGCCTTTCTGCTCTTCCTCTTCATCCTGCAGAGAGATGTGAGCAGCAGGGAGCAGGCCACAGAGAAGCCGTGGCTGAAGTCCCTGGTGAGCCAGAAGGTTCACGTCCTAGACCTCATGCTGGAGGCCGTGAACAACCTCCGAGATTCCATGCCCAGGCTCCAAATCAGGGCTCCGGAACCCCAGCAGACTGTGTTTTCCACAAACCAATCCTGCCTCCCTGGGTTCTATACCCCAGCTGAGCTGAAGCCCTTCTGGGAACGGCCACCACAGGACCCCAATGCCCCCGGGGCAGATGGGAAAGCATTTCAGAAGAGCGAATGGACCCCACTGGAGACCCAGGAGAAGGAAGAGGGCTATAAGAAACACTGCTTCAATGCCTTTGCCAGTGACCGGATCTCCCTGCAGAGGGCCCTGGGACCAGACACCCGACCCCCTGAGTGAGTAGCACCCAGAGTCCTCAGAGGAGGCCATGGCTCTGCCAAAGGCATGGCTGGTATGGCCACAGCCACAGGCCAGGTGCTAGGAAAAGAAGTGAAAGGGATTTAGGAATATGGGCAAGGATTTCCTCTAAGCCAGCAGTCCCTAACCTTCTTGGCATCAGGGACCAGTTTCATGGAAGACAATTTTTCCACGGATAGGTGTGGGAATGGGTTTCAGGATGATTCAAGCACATAACGTTTTTTGTGCACTTTATTTCTATTATTTATTTTTTTTTTTTGAGTTGGAGTCTCACTCCGTCGCCCAGACTGGAGGGCAGTGGCCGCTCCCGGCCACTGCAGCCTCGACCTGCTGGGCTCCGGCGATCCTTCCGCCTCAGCCTTCCAAGTAGCCAGAATTACAGGCACGT